CTTGTAATAGTCTATGTTGAGAGATTAAAGAAAACAGACTAAAGAGAAATAATTGATCTTTTGATAGCAATATTTTGGGAAATTCCATGAATAGTGGCCAAATTCTGCTGACCTTGCTTCTGTGGAATAGCACCCTGGTAAGTGATTATGGTAAAGTCAACCCTGTTGAAAAAAACCAGTCCAGTAAGGTCAGTAAGACTGAGGGGCAACATAATCTTTTTTGCAAATCCATGCAGGTGTACATTTTCTGCAGCTATGACAAGTGTGTATGAGCAATAGTAGAAATAACTAGCAGCAGTGGGATTATAATTAGGAAAAAAAAAGCTTAACAGCACCACAGTTTTAGTAAACATGCAGTCTAATTTAGATATTTTTAAAGCCTTTTCTTCCCAGATGAGTATTCATTATTCTGAGGTACTTCCTAGGCTCCAATGTGCATGTTCAAGTACAGGTTTGTGCATGTGGCTTTAGTCTTTGTCATCCCTAATAATGTAGAACAGTGTAGGACAGCATAATTACACACATAAGTTTGGTATGAAGCCAACATATGGAGAATGCTGGATGGCTCCTGCAAGGTCAGAGAAATTCCATGCTTAGATACTGCCCGTTTTATTTTGTAGACAGGTAGTACCAATTCTTATTCTTTGTCTATAATTTCTTACCCAACTTCAGAATTGGATTCAAATAAACTTCAAAAGCTTATTTCAAAACTTTCAAGATTATCACCTTTCTACACTGCTACTTTTGAGGGAATTTCCTGGTCCAGACATTAGAGAGAAAGAAGATAGGAAAAAAAATCTGTTTCCATTCAGTCAAACTGTAACTAAAAACCTGCTGCTTGCATGTACTCAGAAGTGAATACTTTGAATTTAACAGATGATGTCTCCTTACACTTTATCCATCTGGATCTGAGCAGGACTTTTCCACCACTTTGAGCTCTTTATTATGGTCAGCTGTACCAGGAATAATAATTTAAACTTGAAGGAGGTGAGCTGAGAACTGAATGGGGAACAAAAGGTAAGACTGAGATCAGAGAAAGAAAAAAGAGGGATTAACTTGGTGGTTGGCAAATTAAAGGGGAGCTTAAGAAGTGATAAGGAAGCAGAATGGAGACAGAAAACTAGTGGGAATATCTGAGAAAAAGGTGGTGAGGGATGGGAATAATCACATTGCAAAAAGATGTGAGAGAAGTAGAATTCAGGGGATTGGAGAAGATGGTTTTAGAGGGAGAAAAACCAGGAAGGGGTTAAAGCCACCCAGAACAATCACTGCATTGGTATCCAAGTAATTTTTATCATTATTATAACACGCAATAGACCACAAATATGTTTGTATTCTATATTTGAGACACTTACTTGTGCTACTGGAGACCCTATCTCAAATTTTGTAGATTCAGAGCTCCCAAAGACAACAGCTTACTTTGTTTTGAACACTAATAGTGCTGTACCCGGCTGACTATTTTCCAAACTCAAGTCCGGAGCATCATGAAATAAGATTTATTTTCTATCAATCACTTTTCTGGGAGTGGTGTGACACTGCTAAAATATTACCAAAGGAAAAGAACATCTCCCACAAGGAGTTTGTAGGTGCCCAGTGCTGAATGACACACACTCCAGCTCCCACACAGGGCCTGCCAGGGAAATCTGAACTGCTCCTGGGACAACACAGACCAGACATTTGTAGAGCATCTAACAGCTTTTAAAGCCAGAATGAGCCATACAGTTGTCCTGCCTTCCTTTCCACTCAACACAAGCCACAGTGAGCCCCCAAAGTTTGGGTGAAATGGATGCATTTATAGATACACGTGCTGGTGGGTGTTTTGCCTCCCTGCATTTTCTAATGTATCTTTTGCTCTCCATCAGCCTCCTAAAGTCTAGAGAAACCCCAGGAGTGGGGACCAAGGACTGTACAAAGGACCTTCAAAGATAAGGACATTAGTTTCTATGACTTAAAAAAACCAAACCAAACCAAACCAAACCAAACCAAAACAAACAAAAAAACCCACCCACACAAAAAACCCCCACCTTTATGGCTTGAAGGACAAATCTTCTCATACAAACTTTCCAACATATTATACCTGTGAAATCCTAGAGATAGTGTCTGAGAGTTTTCGCTAAATGAAATGACAGTGACCTTCTGAATGTTTGCAATTAAACTACTGACAATAACTTAACATCTCAGAAATACTGAGAAAGGCTGAAATTTGGAGGAACTGTTTCTATGGAAGAATGAAGCCCTTTCTCAGTGAGGGTGACCCTGCACTGGCACAGACTGCCCAGAGAGGCTGAACAATCTCCATCCCTGGAAGGAATTCAGCACTCACCTGAACACAGCCCCTCCTGGGAGGCTGTTTTGAGGTGACCCTGCTTGAGCAGGGAGGTTGGAATAAATGACCTCCAGTGGTTCCTTCTGTAATACCCGAGATTTAACCTTTCCCCACCTACTGTTGCAAGAGCTGAGGTCAGCTGCTGTGCCTCCTTTCACATCTCTACACTGAAATACTTTCCTAAAAGGTGAGGCAGTGTAAAGAGTTTGATAATTTTCTCATGTAATTATTTACATCTGTGTTTATGTAGACGTATCATATCACTGCAAGTAAATGAATGTTTGCACAACCTTTTGAAGATACAAAGCATTTGTGTGTTTGCATATTTGCACAGGTACTATTTTTCTTGGATTATAAAAACAATTCACTGCCTTTTTTAAGGTTAGTACTCAAAATCCAGCTTCCATGTACTTTTTATTCATCTGACTTGATTGTACTTTAGCTTTTTTATGGACTCTTTAAAATACATACTAATAAAACCTTATTGGCTTTTTATTATCAACTGTCTCAACATACAAATATTGTAGGCTGCAGGGATTTTCTGGTCACTGTGAGCATGACTCTAGATTAAATAGCAATCAATGCATTTGTTATACTGTCTCTGGCAACTGATGCTTCTGAAAAGCTAACACATTTTTAGTATCATTCAGGCAATTTGCAAACACTTCTGCCTTTAAGGGTGCTCTGTTTATTCCAGTACAACACAGGAATGAAGTCAATCTGGGTAAGCTGTAATGATTTACTTACACCTTCCTTTAGCTGATGTTCCACAGCTGGTTGGGCAAAAACTGTGTTAGAATCACACTGGGTACTTAGGACCTTAACTTGCTATAAATTCCTTGAAGTCAATAGGTAAGATTTAAAAATCAATGAAAGGATATGGCTCAAAAGAGCTTTTTTTCCAAAGCTATAACAGTACAAATATTATCACTGAACACTCACTTATATGTAAGATCTGAACATTGAAATAAAAGCCTACAAAAGATCTACAAGCGTGAGATGACATTGAAATCAATGCATTTAAGTCCCTAAATAGCTCATCTGATTCATCTCACCAACAAGAACATCTGATTTTCTCTAGAATAGACAGACATTTACAACAGCAGTGCTCTTCTAGTGGAGTACTTTGAAGTCTGATATTTTAGAAGTGGTTACAGAAGGACATTAGTGAGAAAACAAGATAAATATTTTATTTTGGAATTACAGGGCTGAGAAATTACATGGAATTACATGGATGAGAAATCATCCATGAGGGATATTGCTTCCACCAGATTTCACTGACTTTGCAGAGTACTCTTTGGTTGCATTAGAGGTGGATTTGGTGGAACATTCTAAGGAGGAGGAAGCAATTATTAAATTCACCTGGCAGAATTAACAAAGGTGTTAATCTCTCTTTTTGGTCTCCTAATGGCATGTGACCCTTTTTCATTTAATACCATCAAAGGCTCCATACTGAGGCAGCACTCTACAGAAATTATGTCACTTAATGAACTGTTAGAAGAGTGGTCCCTGTCACAATATAAAAAATACAATTCAAGCGTAGCATGCACAGTACATCTCCAAGCTCCCAACATAAACAGACAATTCAAATGTGGATATTCTAACCACTTAAATCTTACAATAATAAAAACTAGGCAAACAAGGGGGTGAACCTACATCATAAACAATGTTACTCACCAGAAGTCAAATTCTCTCTGCACTAAACAGAACTGGTGCCTGTATTAGCAGAAGGGTCATCATCAATTTTGCTGATCAGATGCCAAGGAAAGCTGGGAGATAATGATGTCTGAGTCCATGCAGTCCCACAGACTGGGGCTGAACAAATTCCCACTGCAGAGGCTGCTGGATAACTGCACAGCTCTGCCTCTGGTCAGGGCTGGGGGGCTTTTGCCCATTATTCAATCATGACTTGTGAAGAAATGTAGCAACAGCTCAGCTGTGTGTACCCAGTCCTGGGCCATTGCTTGGAGAGACCCCTTTGCTGAGGACTTTGCAAACAGAAACCCAGATCTGTAAACAGCTCATTTCTTGCTATGTGAACTTGAAAAAGTTTTTCACCAAATTGTGCACTCAGAAATTCTCCTGAAGGCAATTTTTAAACATTAATACAGACACATTTTCCATTTTTATTGCAACCTGAAATGTTCTTGTAATGTTTCCATGGCAAACTGGGTAACAATACATTTAACATTTCCATCAAATAAATTATATTTAAATTTTATGTATCTACATAAAATTAATTATTTAAGCTCTAAACTTAGAACCATTAGACTGTAAAACCCAAATAGGGCTTAATTTCAACGGTTTATATTATTAAGACTTGCAGTGCTCAAATGTGTACAGCATCCCCTCAGAGGACACTGAGGGACACTCCTGATCCTTTCACTCACAGATTATTTTGGCCAACAGGCAATGGTGTGATTAGCTCCTTCCACCAATGGAGAAACAGATTTGCATTTCAGCTCGGCAATATGCTTCACCAGCTTGTGCCTCCACACTTGAATTCCTGTTCTACAGCAGGGAATGAATGTATGTTTTCCTTGTGCTTTTCTGACAACGATCCAGGTCCTATATGCCAGGCCTGAGGGAATGATCCAGCCTGGAATAGCTGGTGGTGTGGCAAAGAGTGATGGAATCCCAAAACTTTTCCCAGGACTTGGAGGTCTTGCTTTGATTTACAGCTCTCTGGAAATTTAGAGACCTTGAAGTGGGATGTTTTGGGAATGTTTGGTGAAAATTTGTAAGGCCTCTAGCCTTATAAAGACTAGGCAGTTCTTTCATTTAACATAAACATTCAAAGCATCTTTGTGCAAGTGTAATTACCGATTCACACTTTTCCAGTAATTTGAAACCATCACAAGAATTTCCTCTGCAAGAAACATTAGAGAAAACAACTCTTTATTTTCATACAGAAATGGAAGAATCAAAGTTCATCTGCATTCTCAGAACTGAGGTATTTATTGTTCCACAGGAGTAAAGGTGTTGGATTGTACCTGTAAAGGTGTTCTGTGCATTTCCACTCTGGTGCTGGATACCCATGGAAACACCAAATCCTTCACCTACTTACTCTGAACGGAGTAAGGAAGAAGATGAGCTTGCTGAAAACATCAGGAAACTTGAGTCAGATTTTTGTGACAGAGGAAATCTCCCCTGGGTGCACATCTGGGGTGCCTCAGAACCAGGGCTTCAGCACACCACAGGATGTGCTTGGTACTTTGCATGATTGAGCTCTTAGTCATAAAAACATATTTTACATACAAAAATACAGCAGATGTCCTTCCAAAAATCATCTCTGAAGTAATATTCCCTCTCTTTAGGTTTTATACATTCAGGAACAGACATTTGAGATATATTGTGAACAGTGCAAAATACTGTTTTACATTTCTTAAACCACGTGCTGCAGTACCTTTAAGCGCCAGCTGAAGGAAAGGCTGAGAAAGGTTTGATCCTCAGAGCAATTCTGGTCCAAGTCGAACTTTTGTTTTGAGAGTTGTAAACAGATGCCTTAGAATGCAGAGAATCATCTCATTTCTTTCCAGCTAAGGTAGTCTCAAACACATCAAGCCCTGCTTTGAAGTAAACCTGAGCTGAATTGATGCTGTTCAGCACCTTTGACAAGGCTGCTTGAACGGTCTCATTTGACTGATGTAGTTTGCAGTGCTCCAGTGCCTCCAGCAGTACTGAAAACTGGCTGGTCCTGTCATCCAGTCTATAAAGAATATTTCTGAAAGAGAACAATGGAGAGGATGGTAAAATTTTTAGTCAAAAACGATCCACCAGATGCCATCAAGAAACCCTGCGAGTATCAGCCACAGCTTACAGATGATAAATATTATGCACAGTAAAGCTGACCCATGGCAGATTGAGAGACAAATGCATATTTATTATGCCTCTATAAACTGAATCTATTCACTGAACTACGTGTACTTACATTGGAGCAGTTACTAATCCATCAAAGAAGTCTCACATTCTCTTTGACCATTCAAGATTTTATTCAAAAGCACGAGCCTAGACCTATCACACCCTCATGAAGGATTTTGTGTCTCAGATGAATTCCATTTATTCCCCTCTAAAAGGAGTTTAGTTATTGCTGTGAACCCTCAGCACAGGTTTTGTTTTGTTTTTGTTTTTTCTATCTGTTCATGTTATTTATTTCACACTTCAGATGTGAAATTCCAGCTACACTGAAGCCAATGGTAAAACTCTCCTTGCCTTCAGCAGAGACTTTATTTCATCAATAATCCTTTGTGGTTTCAGAACAAGAGTAACCCATCTTTATTGTTCCATACTAGAGAAAAGAAACAGCACACACAGCTAAACCCTTGTGAAACTAAATCTGTGTTTCCCAGTAATATCTGCAAAAAATGTTAATGGTTTGTAGAAAAACAGATGCAAGAGTATCGTGTGATCCCTTGGAAATGTTATCTGTATGAGGTGTGGAAGGCTTGGAATTCAAAGCTAGTCAGTGATTTTAATGGGACTCTTTGAAGCAGGCTGTAAATGTTATCCAAAACCAGGTGTAATCATTACACTAATTAGAAAAGCACATAAATATCATAAATCTCCACCCAGGCACTCCTTTGATTGCAAACAGAAGTGAATGAAATTTGAAACAGGAAAGGCACAGTGATTTGGTGCAGGACCTTATCCTTGAATACAGGACAGGTGTTTGGGGCAGGGGAGAAACTGTTTTGCTTCATGGGAACCCAGCAAGAGACAGGACAACTCACACATTGTTAGTAACCCAATGGCACGACAGAACAGGCCAAATGGCAACTCCAAATCAGTGCTAAAACTGCCAATTTTATTTACGTAAGACAGATGAACACAAAAAGTGCATCTTATAATTCTGTGCATCACCTAACTGCAACTCTGCCTGGGGGAAAGGTAACAAAGTAGCCCAATAAATGACACCACAGAACACCCACAATCTTTTGCCATGTCTTTCAGCTTTAAAAAATGTTTTCAATGAGAGGCCATTTTTTTTTCGAAGATATTAAATAACTCCTGTACTCACATGGCAATTTTTCAGTCTATGTTTTTACCCCCCAATACTAGGTATACATCCAAACCCAGCAGTGTGCAGAAGGAATGATGAGTTTTTTCATCCCCTGACAGCACTACATCCAGACAGTTCCAGGGGTCTGCACTGCAATGAATTGGAGATCTCGACAGAGGAGAAAGGGTTTGAATCCAGCACTGCAGCAGAGACAGTTTAAACAATAGGACATCACTGACATCGACCATTTAGACAGAAATAGGTTAGGAGGACGTGCAAGAACAGCTCAGTGGGGACAGAAAGCCCCATTAAGAGGGCAGAATCAGGCAGCTTGGCAATAACTTGCACTGCAGCAGCCACAGGACCAGCCCCTGCTTCCCCAGCTCAGAGCTGATGCTCCTGTTCCCTAACCAGGGTGCAGCTCAGCCTCAAAGTGGCTCAATTTATCTCGTGGACCGTCCCAGAGCAGTCTCTGTGACACAGTAAATGAAAACTGTGTATGTTGAGAACCAGATAAATTCTTGCTTGGTTGGTTTTTAAGGATAGGCTGTGCTATGGGAAATAGTGCATTTTTCAAAGCAGGGATTGATTTTGCTCCCTCAGTTCAGGGACTCCTGCTGAGATCAGTGCAAGCAGAACCAAGCTTTTGAAGAACTCTCCTCTATAGTTCCTGCAGTTCACAGGGAGAAAGAAACCTGCTCACAGCCCTCAAACACCTCCAGCAGCAAGGACAGTGCTACAGATAATCACATTTCTTTCTACCCTCAGGAGAGATCTGGTTGCTGGTGGCTGGGAGAGTTTGACTGAGCTGGAATTCTACTCCAAATGCCTACAACACTGGTGCCCTGATCTGTGCTAGGATCCCTCTAATCCTTTAGACCAACTTTTAAAAACATCATAAGACAGCAACCATCAGCAGAGCACCACTGACTCAGACTGCAGAAAGGACTCTAAAGAGAGGATGGTCTGAACATGGGAACATTTGGGGACTGCTGAGACAATGTTTGTGGTGAGTAGGGACAGACCTCATGTCCCATCATCAAATGTGCTCTCAACAATGCACACAAGCTAAAAAAGATGGTTTACCCTGACATATAAGGGTGTTAATACAGTTTAAATTTACTGCTGTGATTTTGGAATCACTGGTAATTCTACAGTAAATACACAGGCATGTGATCCAAGCAAAGACAAGTATTGCTAGTCCACCCCACGTGAATGCAGGGGAAATTAGTGTCTGATGAGACCTCAGTTGTTTGATGAATGAGACGAGCAGTCTACTGTCATAATTTTAAAATAATCTCTTAACTTCTGAAATAGTAACAGCTTCAGAATAGCTGATTAAATAGTACGACCTCATTTATATTTTTATGTATGCAAATAATAATAAGTAATGTAATACAGCACCTGTTTTTTTTCAAATTTTCTGCTAGGAGTTCTCACTGGGATCTTGTATTTTCCAATTACTTATCTTTGCTTGGCAAGCATGCCACCCCTTTGTCACGTAAAATAATTTCTCTCTTTATGCATGTTCATGAGAGCCAATTTATACAAGTTCACTTCTCATCTCTGTTGAAGCTTCATCAAATGAAAAAAATGGTCAATCCAGTTTATTACTTCCAAGCCTTTACAAGCCAGAAAAGTGTTTCCATTAAAGATTACACAGGGACTGAAAAATAAACCCCAGCCATTTCACTGACACAAGGTATCACCATGTGCCCACAACATGCAGAATGATAGCAAGAGACTTTAATTTACACTGTGAAATTCAATTACTTAAACATTCCTTAACACAAATTGGTTTTGTAGCCTACACCTCTAAAACAACAATTCCAGCCTGTGGCCTAATTGCTTAAGTATCTACCTTCATCTTTAACTATTTTATCTAATAAATATAATTCACACAGTCAGCCTGATCCCCACAAAACAAAAAGACGCTCCTAAACAGAAAACTGCAATACATTATTGATGGCACTGATGAAATTACAACACACATCATTCATCCTAATGGGTTTGTTTCTATGACACATCCCAGTGACCTGAGAAGTGCAACACTGAGGTAGCAAACCTAATTAATAACTTCAGGCAGTACCACTGAAAGAGATAAAAGGGCTACAAACAAAACAACCAGCCTTAGCAAAGTAAAGAAACTATAAACAGAGCCTTTTCTATAACTTTGATAAGTCCTTAGCAGGCCCAGGAGCACAAGCATTCCTGACCAAAATAATGCCATTAAATGCTGTTCTACATAACCACACATAAGGAGCTACTGTCACACCCACCAGATCAGAAGGAATTTGAAAAATTCTTGAATGATGGACCGTGCTAGAAATATATTGATTTTAAACCAACTTCAATATTAGAGCAACTGGACAGTACAAGATGAAACAAGATTAGCACAGTATTCTTGTCACGAAAAGCGATTTTTAGCTTACAAGAAAATTTTGTCTGTAGGTAATGTACAACACGATGAATTATTCAGGCACTTACAAACAGACTCCTACCTAACAGCCCACAGATTTCAGATTTTGAAAAGTAATTATTAAATCATTAGGACATGATGGTAAGTCTACTGTCCCACATGAAATGAGTGCAGGTTTTCTCTGTAGAATCACAAATTGTTTAGAGATAAATGCTGTGGGCAGCCTCTGTCTATTCCAGTTATACCACAATGTGCTGTGACTTCAGCATCCTCACAAACTCAATTTTATAATTCCCTGAATTGTTTTTTCTTGTACTCTCCAAGGAAAAAAAAAAAAAAAAAAAAAGGCACACCAGAACAATGATTCTCTGAATTTCCCTTTCTTCTTCTTGTTCAATTTTGAATGCATTTTTCTTACATTTAGGAGTCTGTTTTCATTCATGTTTGTAAGACATAAAATATGATCACTTTAATAAATAAGTAAATTCAAAGTAATAACAATCTTTACATGTTGGGAATTCCAGTTCCATACAGTGCTTATTCATTGTAGGACATAAAATTATCAAAAGGTCTTCTCAGGAAACAGCACAAGAGGATTTATACTGGTTTGTTTACACAAGGTTGCACCTCACAAAATTTTGCAGTGAACATGCAGAAAGTTTCCTTTCTTCCTCTGGGATCCTTATCCTTTGATCTCCAGTGGTTCTTCTCCTTTCCTCTCATCTTATTTGCTAAACCTTTTTGACACCCACACGTAGTTTTGTTATCTTACCTATTTTATTTCACAGCAGCATTGTGGCAGACAGTTCATAATTATAAAATTATAGCTGCTGGCCATGTAAGATTAGCTTTTATCAGGAGGAAATACATGCCCTGGTGAAGTGTCATTACATGTCATTAGAGCTGATCCAGAGGAACCCTTTTTTTTTTTTTTCTTTTTTCCCCTGCTGCTCTGGAAGCTGCTGACTCTGGGGCTATGGGATGGAACAACACACACATGGCCAGGGAAGGTGGGGATGTGACACCCAACCACTCAGGGCAGCTCAGCTGTAAATGTCACCACTCCTTCACTGCCCTAAGTCCCCACAAACCTAGCAATGTCGTTTTTAAGGATCTCTGTTTGTAAGATGTTGTTCCTAACTTTTGTTTCCTACACATCCTCTCCTTTTTTAAAGAGCCATCGACTGCCTTCCCTTGGTGCTCTGGTTTACAGGCTGCGAATGGTTCTACCAATATATATTCCAGAAAGTGATATATTTAAAATCATGTACACGCTTAGGTGAGTGTCTGCCTGAAAGGGATGTAT